CTGTTCTAATTTCTAATCTTGGAGGCTGCACCATGCGCTCACTGATGGCCAGGCTGTTCCTGAGAACGTGGGGCCTCTCCGAGTGAGTCTCAGGAAGACAAAGCAGCTGTTGAAAGGAAGGACTCCAGCTGCTACTCGGAGATCCTGGGCCTGGCAGGGCTGACGGGGCTCTGGGTCCTCCGAGTGGGAGACACCGTGCCACCTTGCCCTCACTCAAGTGTCCGTGGCCCTGAAAAGAGAGTTATTAAAATGATTGTCAAATGCAAAGCTGATCGCATAAAGTTCCTCTTAGATTTCTATTTCCATCCCCTTTATTTGGTTCTCTTAGGAGCCTCAGGGCTTGTTGGTTTCATTCAGCAACCTACACAAAAATAGCATGATACAGTATCCGGAAGGTACCCATTGACCTGCTTCAGCAAACCCCACCCTGGGCCACTCCTGCTCATTCATCTCACTGCCTCGCACACCCAGACACTCACGTGCACACCACATTGGGTTGTTTTGTAGCAAAACAGGAGATGGGACTTAAACCCAGCCAGTCTGGTTTCTGAGTTCATGCTCTTCATCATTAAGATCTACTACCTCTTCATACTGACTTCCTCTACTCCACTCTCCCAGTCTACAGAAACCTTTCCTGCCCAGGTGTGAACAAACTCTTTCGTTTGGGGATTATGTGTTCCCAAATTTTCATGGGCTTGTAATGGGCCCACCCCCTCTGGCTGATGGATGATCTCTGTTCCCAGGTTTGACTGGCAGCAAGCATTTTTCTGACGTCACCCTGACTCACTGTGCATGCACCCATCTTCCCCTCGGTCCAGTTCCTTCCCCAGTAATCTGCAGGGAATGGACCCGTGGTTCCCCTGGGGAGTGTGAAATGGCAGCTTCCTGGTGAAGCTGCCCAAATGACATGCCTGTAATGTCTGGTCTTCCCTTTGCTCCTTATTATTAATAACTAGCTAATTACAATGGTATCAATAGCATGCCTAGTACAATGCTCAATAGCCATTCCCTTCCTCCTTGTCTGTGTGTTCAGCTCACAGAACATGCATACAGGCCTGCCTCCTGAGGCTTTACTTGACAGGCTCACACCACACCGCACCAACCGCACCGCATCACATGTTGTATAATAGACCCTTTAGGTGCCTCTGGGTCTTATTTTCACCTCCTGTTTTCCTCTTCATTGTCCATCAGGAGGCCTAGGGGATTTGAACTGGGTTTTCAGAAGGCAGTTACTAGATAGGCTTGGTGAAAGCAGGCTGAAAATGGACGTTTAAAAGGAATACAACTTTGACATGAGCCACCTCCTGGAGGGGACCAAATGCCAACTTACTGTGGACTTGAGTTTAACAGTTCTCAGGGTAAACAGGAATCCCATGTGGATCGACTGGGTAATTTTTTTTTTTGAGACATTAGCTTTCAAATTGGTCCCAGTTATTCAATGGCTTCAAGCAAAACTGAATAATTTACTAGCAGTTTCACAGAGAGTCATGCTGGGTTCTTCTGTAGGATATGGGGCTCTTGGCTTTCTGAGTCCTCATTAATGAGCCTAACATTTCGTGAAGAACAAATCCCAAAAGAAGAATCAGGTTAGAAACAGGAATAGAAACCATTGTCATTCATGTAAAAGGTGTCACCGGATGTGTTTGTGTGTCTGTTGGTTCTGAAGCCAGCAGCTTAATTTCTACCTTTCAGTTCTAAGACAGAGCAGCACACGCCCATCATTCCTTCCTGCCTCCTTCATGAAGCAACAGGAAGGAACCTGCAGCCAGACTCACCTGTAAACTGGAGACCGTAACATCTGCCTCGGGGTTGTGAGAAGGATTAAAGAGATGACTGTCCATCCCTTTTCCCCAAAAGGATTTCACATCAATATTTACTCACTAGATCTAGAAAAAGAAGGAACTTTCTTGAAATTGTGGCTTGTAGATGTCTTGGTGGAAGTCTGCCATCATATGCATGTGTATGTATGTATCTCACACACACACACACACACACACACACACACACATCCACCCCTTATAGCTCTGTATTGAAAATGTCCCAGGTGGTCTGACACCTGAAGGTGTCTCCCTGGCTTTGAATGCACTTTATATTTTAGGAACCATGTCTAATTCTGTTCTCTACAATATTTACCACAGACTTGCTTAAGCTTTAAAAGTGAGATACAGAATCTTCGGATCAGGGAAACATGAGTAGCTTCTTCTCAGTCCTTCCAGAATGTATGTACTAGAATTGCATAAGGGTTTGCACATCTGGATTCCTGTCCTGCTCTCCCCCAGGCTTCGAAGTAAGTTTTGCCTCCCTCACTCTATCAGGCCTGATTTTTTCTTATGGGTCTTTTTGTTCTACAGTAGCCAGTCTGTCCTCGTCTGTTCTGAGTATTTTCTCGTTATTCTGCAGGCGTATGTCTCTGACGTAACTATCTCAGTGGGGTCATCTGTATTATCCCCCTGCCTGCCAGTTCCGTGGAAGGGAGCCAGTCTTTTAAAAAAGCATTTAATCCCTTGAGCTGTTGGGTAATAGCAAGGAATGGAGACCAGAGTGAGCATGTGGATGCTCAGTCATGCCGTGATGAAGGCTCTCTCCTTTGTCGTTCCCTTCCCTATGGTTATAGGAAGGTTGTCTGTCTTGGGACTCCCTCTAGGACTGAGACTTTTCCCCAGCCTGTGAATATTCCTTTTTGATATAAGGCACAGCTGGCCACACGCTGAACACCTCATCTCTTTCAGAACGTATATTAAGCCTTTTGGGATTAGGCCTAACTCCCAGGGCATAACTCGTTTGCATTGGAATAAATTAACACCCACTATGAAATTTTTTTGCAGTCTCTCCACCTTGAAACCCCTGTACCTCCAGCTGCACTACTAGCTCAGGGGAGGGTCTGCCCATCTATGTCATCCACCCATGTTTGCCAGAGCCATTGAAATTCCCTGCCTCACGCAGTCCTCTAGGTTGGGTTTTAAAAGATGTAGCAATATATGTAAAATATATATCTAAAGCAAAGATGTACTGATGATTGAACATTTAAGAGGTGGAAAAAGATATGTCAGGCAAATTGAACAAAAGCCATGGTGGCAATTTTAATATTAGCAAAACAATTGTAAGATGAACATGTCATCAGGGCAAAGGATGACATATACTAGTAACATAATAATACATGATCTTACGATCGTGGATATGTACGTTGCTAACTATATAGCCTCAAAATATACAAAATAAAAGATTATAGACAGACTAGAAATAGGTCAGCACTTTTAGTTGGAGGTTTTAAGATACATAAATAGCCGAGAAGAGCAAAGATTAGAATATTTGAATTATAAAACTAACTTGATCTAGAATATAGATATAGGTCTTTTTACTCAACAGAATAAACATTTTTTAAGGGCATACACGGACTAAAAAATAATAAAAATTGGCTTAACCATTTTTTAATTTGATGAAAACTATAAACTCACAGATTCAAGAAGTTAAACAATTCCAAGTAAGATCAACACACACACACACACACCACATCTAGATACCTCAAGGTCAAATTGCTGAAAACCAGAAATGAAATGTAGTGGAGGTAGAAGTTAGGCCTCAAACTTCTCTTCTATAGCATTTAGCACTAGAAGAACAACGCTGACAATTCTCAGGAGGGAAAAGCCTGACCCAAGACTTCTTTGTGTTTTAACTTTGTATATTGTTTATTTAATAAATATTTAGAGTGCAATTATGTGCCAGGCAGTGTTCTTGGCATTGGAAATACACCAATGAGCAAAACAGACACACATGACAGAAACATAATGGAGACTTTAGTTCACCATTTTCAGCAAATGAAGAGGAAGTGAATAAAGGACACATGTTTAGAAGACCCAAACATCATAAAAGAGATGTGACTCATAAATGTCCAATTATGTCCTTTAAAACATGGTGTTTTTTTTCAAGCTCTAGAAACATCACAAAAATTATTTATTTGCTTATTTAATGTTTGCCTACTTCCTCTAAATTATGAGCTTTATGAGATGGGAAGGGACCTTGTCTGTCTCATTAACCCCATTTCCCCAGGGCTAATAGGTGACCCATAAATATTTTTGAGTAAGTGAAAGAACACATTCATAAAAGGAAAATACAAATGGCCAGTAAACCCATGGTGGGGAAAAAGCACAACTTTATAAACAAAGGTATTTCTGTTCAAATAGTAATAGAATACCATTTTACCTATCAAATTGGCAAAACTTTCAAAAAGTAACGTGCTCTCAATCCTTGGTTTGTATATATAATTGCATACCTAGATAAGGTGTCAACTCTGCAAAATGTCAAGCAACACAGATAACACAAATAGTTCTTTCCAGTTCCCAATCCCCACACGCAAACATCCAAGATGAACCATGAACATCAGGAAATGTACCACTTGTGTATGTCACATCCTAGCTACCTCTCTACTTCAGTGGGTGGCCTGGGCCCA